CCCCCGGGGGAGGCGGCAGAGGAGGCCCGAGCCCCGGTGCGCGCACCACAGCCCTGGGCAGGGCAGGAGCTTGGAGCTCCCTGCCCCGGCCCACGGCTCGGCCTCAGGCTCCCGGGCACGGGGCCTGCCCACAGCTCGCTCCGGGGGGTCCCTGCAGCACCCTGCCCAGCCCTGGGCCGCGGGCAGGGCAGGCCCACAGCCCCGGCCACCCTGGGGCCAAGGTCCAAGCCAGGACCAGCAGCGAGCTCTGCCCAGGGGGTCCGGGCGAGCCGCGGCAGCACCAGGGCACCGGCTCGTCGAGACAGGCCGCCTGCTCCAGGCAACAGCTGCCCTCCTGGAGCCCACTCCTGCCCCCGTGGCCGAGGCCCCCGCACCAGAGACAGAGCCCGGGGCTGTGGGTCGGACCCCTGGGAGGCCGCTGGGGCAGAGCGGGGGGCCGGCACAGGCCCCCTTGCTGGCAGTGGGCAGCGGGCACTGTGCAGCCGCTCCGGGAGGGTGGTGGTGCAGGGTGCGGGCAGCTGCATGGAGCCAAGAAGCCGGGTGAGCCCACGGGGCGCTTGGTGACCCCAGCTGCCTGCATCTGCCGCCCCACGAGCCAGCCGGCACCGCAACAGGGAAGCGGGGCACCTCAGTCCCCTGCCCTGGGCAGGGGTCAGTGGCTGGCCCATCCCTGTCCCGGGCACCAGCCCTGGAGACTGCTCACTCCCAGAGCCCATGCTGCCCCATCGGGGTCTGGGGGGGCCGAGGACTGTCATGAAGCCCCCACCAGCCTTGGCAAGGTGCTGCGCAGTTGCCCTCCACGTCCAGGTCAAGCCCCAGCCATGGAGGGGAGGGAAGCACAGCCCCAGCCCCAGCCCCAGCCCCGGACCTGCTGCCAGCAGAGGGGCTGCTCCTGGCAAGCTCTGCCCGTCTGAGCCAGTGCGCGCATCCGGCCGGGGCAGGGGTTGCCTGCTCTGCCCCCGGGGACACACTGGGGGCGTGGAGCTGCCTGGTCCCTGGGGAAGGGAAGGGAAGGGAAGGGAAGGGAAGGGGCAGGCGAGGGGCTGCTCGTAGGGGAAGGCAGACAGGCCCAGACGCCTGCTCCACCAGGCCTGGGCAGCCCTACAGGGTCTGGGGGAGGATGGGGGTTTCTAGCTCTTCTGGTTCCTCGGGACCGGAAGGGGAAGGTCCCAGCAGGCTCGGCCCTGGGGGGCTGTCACACCCACCTGAGACACCCGTGGCCGTACCTTGAGGCGCTCGTACTGTTTGCTCCTAGTTGTGCACCTGACTGCACGCTTGGCCCCAACCCCGGGGGGAAGCAGGGGGATGAGCGGGGCTGGGGCAGGGGCAGGGGCAGCTGTCGGGGGCTCTGCTCCAAGCACCCCTTCCCAGGACAGTTCCCCGTGGCTGGACTCACCTCCCAGGATGCTGGGGGACACACGAGGGACGACCTGCCTGCCCCCACCTCAGGCCACATGGCATGGAGACAAGGCAAGCTGTTTGCCTAGGGAAGGGATGAGGACATGCAGAGGTTCCCAACCGCCCCCCAGCAGACCCCACCTCAGCCAACATTGTGGAGGCAGACAGGGGATGAGCTGGGGGGTGGGGGGGGGGCTACACAAGCCCAGGTCTGTGGCATTTGCCCTGGACACGTAGCAAAGCTGCGGCTCAGCGCGATGGTGGACTCGCTTGCAAAAATAAATTACCCCCCTGCAGAGCCAAAGCACCGCACTGCTCTGAGGCGCTGAGATCCAGGCTGCCCGCGGTCCCTGCCCCCATGCCACAGCCACTGGCAGCCCTGCAGCACAATGACGCAGGGTCCTTCGTGCCATCGCAGCTGGGGCAGGGGAGGCCTGGCCGCTGGGCAGGCCAGAGCAGAGCCAGGTCCAAGTGGGCAGGTGTGGCGACGCGGCTGGGCACACGGGGAGCAAGGAGAGCGCAGACAAGCTAGCCCGCTCAGCTCCACCCAGGATCTCCCCACGTCCCCTTCAACTGTAGCAGCACCAAGAGTCCAGTCTGGGTCCGACGGGCAGTCCCCCAGGCAGACAGAGCACAGTCCGGCTCCGCTTGTCACGTGATTCAGCAGCAGTTTTTTTTGGGGGGGGGAGGAAATAATACTTGGTACATTCAGTGCTGCTGCCTGGGCAGCGCCGCTGGGTTTGGCACGAGTTGTCTGGCTCACGGACCCTCTGGAGTCCTCGCCATGCATTTCCAGATGCAGACGTCCCGTCTGCGGTGCTGAGTTCGAGGGCTGCCCTCGCAGATGCACCCCTGGCTCCCGCCGGCAGCCCCCAGGCTGGGCACGGCGGGTGCGGTGTTGGCGCGGCCTGGCAATCCAGAGAATCCACCCGGAGCACCCGGCTGTGTCGCTGTTTCCTGGGACCCCATGGGGGCTGACCCGCGATCTGCTCCTGGCGCTGCGGCGACCCGTCTCCTCCCTTCTACGCAGTGGCCACGGCAGCTCAGATCCCGCTGGTGAGGTCGGTGATGACACGGGCCTTCACCAGCTTCCGCAGGAACTCCTTCTCCCGCTGGATGTTGTGCGTCCAGGACTGGAAGGGAACCAGAGACAAGCAGTCAGCGGCTGTCCCCCACCCCGACACGCACTGGCAGGGGCAGATCCAGGGGTGCAGGTGCACCTGCCCCTTGATTCCTGCTCCACACGAGCTTTAACACCACGTGCCTGGGAGAGGCAGCAGAATTTTTATTCAAGCAGTGCTAAGACAGCGAATCATCATGACTCATTGCAACAGGTTCCTGCTAATCTCTACACTCCACAGTGGTTTCAGTTTCATAGTAGTTTGGGGTCAGGAGGGACCTGAACAGATCATCCAGTCTAACCCCCTGCCACTGGTAGGAGCACACGCTGGGATCACACAACCCCAGACAGGTGTTCGTCCAACCTCTTTTTGAATTTACGCAGGGTAGGAGCGAGGACCACTTCCCTAGGAAGCTGGTTCCAGATCCTAGCCACCCTGACAGTGAAACAGTGCCTCCTAATCTCTAACCTGAACCTATTCTCCAGCACCTTCTGGCCATTGTTCCTCGACACCCCAGGTGCTGCCGGGGGGAACAGGAACCTTCCTATTTGCTGCTGATCTCCCCTAACGAGTTTGTAGGCAGCCACCAAACCCCCTCAGGCTCCGCTTGCCGAGGCTGAACAGGTTCAGGTCCCTCAGTCTCTCCTCATGGGGCCTGTCCTGCTGCCTCTCACCAAGCGGGCGGCCCTCCTCTGACCCCTCTCCATGTTGTCCACATCCCTCCTGAAGTGCAGCGCCCAGAACTGGACGCAGTACTCCAACTGCGGCCTGGCCAGTGCCGCACAGAGGGGCAGGATCACCTCCCTGGACTGGCTTGAGCTGCACCTTTGGATGCATGACAAGGTTTGGCTGGCCTTGCTGGCTGCGGTCTGGCATTGGTGGCTCATGTTCATCTTGGAGTCAATAATGACTCTGAGATCCCTTTCCACCTTTGTGCTCACAAGGGGGGAGCTCCCCAGCCTGTCTGTGTGCTGTGGGTTCCTTCTTCCTGGGATGCCAGCAAGGCCATGTCCAACAGACACTCTGCCTGCAGCCCCCCTCACACCGCTGCCTTGCGAACCCTGCCGGAGGGCTCCGAGCAGGGGCTGAGCAGCACATCTGTCTCCGACTAGCCCTGGCAGCCTCAGGGTCGGGCGAGCTGGGATCCAAGGAACCTTTCCTGCAACAGATCCGATTCACTGAAGCCCCTGCCCACCTACAGATGCAGGCCTGTGACCCAGAAGGACGAGCCAGGGGGCCAAGGGGCTGCAGACAGGAGCGGGGTCCTTGGGGTTTAACAGCTAGGAACGTCCCTGCGAGTTTCCAGGCAGAAATGAACCATCGGATCAAGTGTGCACACCTTGCGGGCTGGAACGGTTCCTCTGGAGCAGAGGCTGCTGTGGTGCGGGGTGCTCCGAGCCCAAACAGCTGGAGTGCTGCCCCAGTGCCCCACAATCCCTGAGTCACTGGGAAGTGCTGTGTGCATGGGGCAGGGTGCTGGGGAAGGGCCCAGCCAGACACTGGCCCCCCTGGGTCTTCCAGTGAACAAACCAGCAGGACCACCAACATGGCAGTGGACTCTACCTGAGCTGTCACCATGCAGGAAAGGGCTGCAGGAGCTGTCGTCAGCGTGCTAAAACCATCAGCTCAGTGTTCAGCGTGCTAAAAGCATCAGTTCAGGGCAAGCAATGCCAAGGATTATTAGGCAGGGCATCCTAGTGATCTGGAGCTCCCCCCCGGCCCTGCTGTTGTGTAGAGCAGCGGTTTCCAACTTGTGGTCCATGGACCCAAGGGGATGTCCACAGTCTATGCCCAAGGGGCCCGTGACAGATGACTGTGATCAATCAAAAGTATGTGAACCCCACAGCTCCCATCCAGAGGGGTCCGCACTTCCATTCAACGTTTCCAAAGGGGTCTGCAAAAGAAATAAGGTTGGAAACCACAGCCTTAGAGGGGTACGCCGCAGCAGCCAGCCATGCTGCGGGGGGATGGAGGTAGAGAGGGGGACACGACTCTCCCCAGGTCATGCCACCAGCCACGGACAGAGCCCAGCGCACAGCACAAGGCTCCGGCTCGCCAGTGCAACCCACCCAGGGCTGCTGTGTCCCCAGGGGTGCCTGCACTGAGACCTGTGCCTGGGGAGCAGCCACCCAACTTGAACCCACCCAGTCAAACCACCTCTGTCCGGGCGTGCCTGGAGGGACCCGCACTGTTCTGGGTCCTCCACGAGCTCATGGGGTCTGAAGCCCTCTCTGCACAGCACGGCTGTCAAATGCACCTGGCCCCAAATGACTTGGGGCCAGTCCCCAGGCTGGATTGGACCAATGGGCCCAAGAGCCCTGGACACCTCCCCATGCTCCCAACCCTGTGCCAGATGCAGCACGCGCTCCAGGATTTGCACGGCACTGGTGCATCCCGGAGCAGCTAGGACAGGCACCACGGGCAGCAGGATCCCAGAGGGGCTGGAACAGGCTTCATGTGCGGTGTGGATCCCAGAGCAGGCACCACACTACCCATGGTGCTCCCATTCCTGGTCCCCAACTGGGCCGCCTGCGGCACCTGGGCCACCCAGCTCAGGGCCCCTGCTGCATGCAGGCACCACGTGAGGCACGTCTTGGCAACACCTTCAAGAGCAAATTGGATGCTTATCTTGCTGGGATCCTATGACCCCAGCTGACTTCCTGCCCTTTGGGCGGGGGGCTGGACTCGATGATCTTCTGAGGTCCCTTCCAGCCCTAATGTCTATGAAATCTATGAATCTATGAACTCTGGGATGGGCCCATGTGCAGCGAGGCTCCTGAAATGGGCACCATGCTTGGGGTGTCCTAGGTCCTGCCCATGGGGCTGGTCTGGGTCAGAGCTGAGGGGTCCAGCTGAGCTCGGCCCAGACATCCCTTCAGCCCTCAGATGGCTCAACATAGTTCTCAGGCTGGTGTCCTTGACCATCTGCTTCTGCCCTGTCATAGGACACCTTCCTGTCTCTGCAGTTGCCTTTCCTGGGCCTTCCATCACTGCCAGCCCGTGGGTCTCATCCCCACTCTGCTCCACAAATGCTATAGAGAACACCAGGTCCGCAGCAGCAGCATGGGGATCTGGCTCCTGAGGTCCAGGGGCCTCAACCAGGGATGGATCCAGGGGGCTGCACCTTGGAGTCCTGTTCCCCACAAAGTTTAAACCCAACAGCCTGGCTGTGGCAGCAGCAGCTCTAGTCAGGCCATCACTTGACATCGTGGCTCTGTATCATCTCCCTGATCCCCGCTAAACTCTTCACAGGTGTTAACGACCCTCTTCTTTTTAATGGTCTCTATGTTCTGCTAATGAAGCTGGCCTCCGTCCTGCTGTGCTGCTGCCCGTGAGCTGCTCCTGGTCACAGAGCTCCTATTTCACAGACTGTTTTTAACTCATTCCAATGACTTTCTATTTTTAGACGTTCTTCAACTGAAGAAAAATGTGTGTTGTTTTATCAGTGATGATGCGCCTTGCCAGCTCTACCCGCCTTTTCAAAACCCTAGATCCACCCATGCCCCAGCTCCCATTCAGTCTACAAATGCACACTCTGCCCAGACAACACCTGACCCTCCTGTGCCGCTGTTCGGGCCCTGGGTGCACGGCTCTGCAGCTAGGGAGCCCTGGGAACTGCTGCTGGCATCAAAACCGCGCCCTGGGAGCACACTGGTCAGGGAACCCTCCCTCCTCGTAGCGTTTCAGACCACCCTATGCACCCACCGACATGAGGATCATGGCCCTTCCCTGACTGCTGGAGGGGAGAGGTGGCGGTGGAGCAGCCAATGCGACCATCAGCACTTGTATCATCCTGGGACAGCACTGCACATGCTATGTGCACGCAAGACCCAGGTGTGCGGCAGGGCAGAACCAGTGCGCGCATCCCCCCCATCACCCAGCAGCAGCCATCACCATCCATCTCTCCGCTGGCAAAACAGCACTCATCTCCCATGGGCTGGGGCAAGCAAGCCCATGCTCTAGGGATGGGGCCTTCTGCCTCCAGCTATGCTGCAGTCCCCACAGGGTGCCCCAGGCCGGCAGCATGATCAGACCCCATTGCTCAGGGCTCGCACCAGGGTCCTGGTATGTGGCTGCTCAGCAGATACTGGCTCTCCACAGCAGCCTCGTTCCCTCCTTGGCTTTGCTGTTTGTGCTGCTGCCGCAGCTTTGGTTCCACCAGCAATGAAGAGTGAGGGGCTGTGTCCCTAAAGCAGAGCAGAGCACTCCTGCGATACGCTCAGAGCTGGGGCTCCTGCCAGTGGGGTGGCAGGGAGGCCAAGGACAGAGCACGTGGTATAAAGGGACGGTGGGAACTGCCTGGAGCAGAGGCAGTCGTCAGCTTCCCACAAACATCCTCCAAGTCCCCAAGAGAATTGCAGCACATTGCAATGTCCCACAAAGCCCCACACTGGATGGTGGCACTGAGATGCCTGCCCGTGGGCCTGGGGTGTCCTGCTGATGCAGCTGCCTGGTGTGAGAGCACCCAGGTTGCTGGCACAGCCACTAAGCATGCAAGTAGCCAAGCAAACCTGCAGTGTCAGCAGCTGTGCACTGCCACGGACGCTGGCAACCAAACGTCTCCAGATGGCCACGGCCCGAGTGCTGTTGGTTACCCTCTGGCTGGGCCCAGGCTGTAAAGGATCAGTCTCCAAGGTGCAGGTGGAGCAGGGGCTGGTCATTCAGGATGCAGAGCTAGACCCACTTGTGCCCAGGGCAGCCTGGCTTGACATGCACAGAGCAGAGAAGCCACCAGCTCTGCCCAAGCACTCGCATAGGTTGCAAATGGGCCTCCGGAGCAGGCATGTAGGGGCCCACAGCTGTTGAGCTGGGATGCAGATGCACGGGTCATTGTCAGACCCAGCGACATGCTGATAAGGGCAGGGCAGGGCAGCTGTGCTGCTGCGCTCAAGCCAATCCAGGCCCCGGTGTTTAAGGAACTTTTTTGGCATAACACAGACTCTGGTGAGGCATCTTCCCAGCCGGCAGGGTCCGTGGTCACTTCAGCCAGTGCCTGCTTAGGACCGCAGGCA